AACATAAGCCCATAACTTTTTATGAAAGTAATATTTAAGCCTCTAGACTATTTACATGGTTGTATATAGACCTCAAAGGGAAAAAAATTTGAGAAAAGTAAAATTTATATTTATGAAACCATTTCCATTGATCGCACTTGCATGGTTTATGAGAAATACTTGCATAGTTGCATACATGGAGGAGACATATCACTCACCATGGATTGTTAGAAAATGCTGAGATGGATGACTTGTACTCACCGAGTAAAGAAGTTCAGGTTCAGGGCCCATTAGTCTGTTGTGGCTCCATTTCAAAATGATTTGATCTTCTTTCATCTATTTGGCCTGTTAAAATGAGTCAACAAACAAATATTTCTATTGAATGGTAGAACACAAGTTTCAGATGGCTGTCAACCGATAAAAATAATAGTAACAAACGGTAAAACACATCTACTCTTGCACATTGCGTTGTGATATCTGATACTTAGACATCAAATTAAGACGTATTTCAGGAATATGTCTCACATTTTTCAAGAACAGCTTGGACCCAATGTTTGTTTCAAGTCAAACATCACCAACACCCACAATCTTGGCTTCAGATCTGTTTCCCATCTTCAAATAACCAAAATCACCTTCTTTGTAAGAATTAAACCAATCTCTACTTGGTGTGACATGATAAGAAGCAGTAGTATCAACAACCCATGTAGAATCATGATTAGTAACACCAATGCTATCATTCTCACACAACAGGTATACTTCATCATCAGAAGTGATTCTGGTAGTGTTCTCCTTGGCCTTTTTTCTCTTCATGAGTATTAGCCCTCTTCTTAACATTTTTATCTTTGTTGTGCCAACAATCCTTTTGATAATGACCTTGCTTTCCACAAGTGTAACAAGTCACTCTACTCCTAGATTTTGATCTGCCTCTGGACTTCCCTTCGCTGTACCTCTCTTGAGACTGTCTGTTGTTGTCTTTTCGAATGTACCTTTGCTTACTCCTCCCTCTATACTTAGTGACCAGTGCTTCAGACTCAGAACTCATAATTCCTTGCTCTTTTCTTTTGGATTCCTCACTCAAGATGTTGTCCTTAACTAGTTGCAAAGTCATCTCCCCATCTCTTGTTGAGTTGCTTAAAGTTACTGCCAAAGTCTCCCAACTATCCGGAAGAGAGCTCAATAAAATCAATGCTTGTACCTCATCATCAATGGCCAGTTTCATTGTAACTAGTTCATTCAAAATTTCTTGGAAACTATTCAAGTGCTCAAACACATTCTTGCCCTCCTTGTACTTGAGATTGACTAGCTTTCTAATAAGTGATGCTTTCTTCAAGGCATTCTTTCTTTCAAACAGCTCTTCAAGCTTAGTCCACAATTTATAAGACTCCTTCTCTTGAGCCACATGATGAATCATACTCATGTCAACCCATTTACGGATTACACCGCAAGCTTTACGATCAATCTTTTTCCAATCAGCGTCATTAATTTCTGCAGGTTTAATACCTTTGTGCTCAATTGGGTCATAGAGGTCTTTACAAAACAATTTGTCCTCCATCAAGGTCTTCCACAAAGAGTAGTTAGAAGTGTTCAACTTAATCATGGTTAAACCATCCTTTTCATTTGCCATAGTTGATGGACTTAAGAATCAGCCAAATCTCACTTGGGAATTTTCACAAACACCTTGTATGCAAACCTTGCTTTGAAACCAGTTGTTGTAATTTTAAAGGTCCAATGCCTAGAATTAATGCAATCAATCAGCAAAATCAACCACCAAAAACAGATTAAGCAAAGCAAGAAAAATAAAGAAGACACTAGAAATTTTTACGTGGAAAACCCAAGTGGGAAAAACTATGGGACACTTGCCCAAATGTAAATCAATCCACTACTGAAAAATGGATTACAACCTTTGGATCAAAATCCAAATCTCTCAAATCTCTAGTATCACAAGGGGAGACTTGCTCTCAACCTCACTCTCTGTTTTTCTTCACAGTTTCTCACTGGTTTTTTTCACGCACTCACACCTCTGCACTCTTTTAATTTAACTAGAGATAAATAGGGGTGCTTTTAGATACAAGTATATTAACAACTATCCTATCAATGACTAATTTGTTAACATGTCCAAAGTTAGAGGTGTCTACTTTACTTTTTCCCATTTTCTTCAAGAATGGGAAAGTCTGTGTCGAGAACTACTGTTCATCTTCAACTAAAAACTTCCCAAGTTTCTGCCAATTTTCGTGCACTCAATGTGCACCTCCATTGTTGAGCCACCCAATTTGGGAGGGCTAGTTTAACAAAAAATTTGGCATATTGTTGTGCCTTTACCAAGCTATTAAAACGGTAGTTGGCGAGCAAGTGCAAACACAAAACATATGATGTTCACAAATATGATGTGATTGACTCATAAACTTGCAAACCCCCCCTCCCCCTAGCAAAAAAAAAAAAAAAAAAAAAACTTTTTAGGTAGTTGGAATGTTTTAAGCTTTAATATGTAAATTTCCCTTTACATTAGCAAAAAAATCAGGTAATGCTTATTTCTAGTTTAAGGCTTATTTGGAATAATAATTAAAAATTTAACAGTTGAATAATAAATAACAATAGTTTTGATTGATATAAATGTTTTGTTATGTAATAATTAGATATTGTTATTTGACAATGAATGATTAAAGAGGCTAAGTTTAAAAATAATTGTTAAATTATTTATAAGTGTAAATGAATAAAAGTTTCATATAAAAAATTTGAAAGTAATTAGTGATGTAAATATTTTGACATTAATAAAATTACTAAACTAATTTTTTAATTTTAAAATAATGTTAAAACATGAGTTTTTTTAACTTTAAAATAGTATTAAAATGCGTCTTCCCATTTGGCCTCATAAATTATATTTTTCATGCCTTCAAATTATTAAACTAATAGCGGTTTCGACCCTGTTGTCGCGTGTCTCAGATTTTGGAAGCAGAAATGCCGAGATATACGTTTTGGTGTCGAGATTCTCAGCAATTTTTCAACAATTTTATTGAAATTCTTTTACAAAAGTCCTACTTTTTCTTTTTTTTAGTAGAGTCTTGTTAAATTTTATAAAAACTCATTAAAAAATGATTTTGAGAGCTTTCACAGACTCGCCAACGTGAAAATAATAAAAGAAAATTAAGACTCAATAAAAAAAAAGATTAAAATTTTAATTTTTATAAGTTCAAATTAATTTTATTTATTTTTAAATTCATGATATAAATTTATATTCATCATGAAATTTTAATTTTTTTTTATTGTGAATTTAAGAAGTCATCCTAGTAGGATATAGTGTAGTTATTTTAATCTCTAATTTTATATTTTTATATTTTTAAAATTTATTATTTCGCATAGAGTATTTATATTATTATTATTATTATTATTTTATAATTAGTCGTGATTTAAGGGGCATAATTGAGGTGGCCAGGAACTTCAACAATAACCTTTGGCAATATATATGATGAATTTAAATGAAAGCCATGGACCAAAATCATTACTCAAAATAAATATATTGTAATTACCATTGAATGAATGCCAAAGCTCAAGTTATAGGATGGATCTTTAGAATACGGTCTTCTTAGTTTCAGACCTCAACTTGCTCTTCTAACTCCCACTTCCATAAAACTCGATCCAAGAGAATGGGATTAAATTAAACATCTCTGTCTCGTTGGCATTCAGCAGCCATGTTAGGGAAGCGGACGCGATCGGTGCAGTAGTTGTAGATAGTGTATTTCTGGCGAACCCACTTCAGATTCCGGTATTGCAGGGCATCAAGGTCTTCGAATTGCTTCTGGTCCCACCACCTCTTCCCCTGCGTCTCACAGAAGTTGGCATTCACTGATGCTTCACACCCATCTACGTGGAAGCCCTTGTAGGAGGCTATGAAGGGAGCCTTGGACCAGTCTGTCTTCTCCAGACCTCCCCTGGTGGCCCAGTCATCCGCATTCCACAGGCTTGAGTATATCTTCATTGGCTGGTTGAAGGGAAACCTCACCCCCAAATCTTTGCTGTTCTTGAACACCCTGATGGGTACATCATCCACAAAGAACCTGCATAATATATATTGATTAAATATGGAGGCAGCTCAGTCTAAAATATATGCAGAGGGATC